GGTTTAAAAAAAAAAAAAAAAAAAAAAAAAAAGAGTAATAATCGCCGATTGGTAGATTCGAACCCATAATGACCCAAAAAAAAAAGAAAAAAAAAGAAAAGAAACTCCCCGTCGTCACCTGAATAGAACGCCCAGTCATTATCAATGCATCTGGCCTGGAAGTTGCCCCAAATTCAGCTCTACTTTTACGGGGCGTTCTATTCGGATGAAGACGGTAGTTTCGTCCTCCCCGACGCGGGGCCGGGGTTAGTGTTCTTATTGCCCGCCTGACGAAGAGCAACTCTCCATCAACACCAGCAGAGAAGTTAAGTACTGCTACTCTTCCTGTTAGTGGGGGATAGTCGGATGCACACTTATGATGGGAGAAGCAGACCAACAAGTACTATAATCGCCAAGGGCGATATGCGATGTCTCTTCTCTCTCCATTGATCGAGAAGAAGCACTTTCCATGGACGAAGCAGCAGCACACGAGAATGGCTCTCTCTTCTTCTTCAGTATGGGAGCACTCCCCATGGTAAATGACAGCTTCACGCGATCTGAAGAAGAAGAAGAAGAAGAAGACGTCATGCTGATGATGATGACGATGAAGATGCCTGTTGACTTCAACAGAAAAGAACGAGGAGAAAGAAAAAAGGCGACAAAGACGAGGATACCTGTTGACTTCAACAGACAAGAACGAGGAGAAAGAAAAAAGGCCACAAAGACGAGGACCACGAGGAGGAGAGAAGAAGAATGATGATGATGACGATGAAGATGCCTGTTGACTTCGACAGAAACGAGGACAAAAAAAAACGGCGACAAAGACGAGGACCACGAGGAGGAGGAGGAGGAGGAGGAGGAGGAGGAGGAGGATGAAGGAGGAGGAGGATGAAGGAGGAGGAGGAGGAGGAGAAGAAGAAGAAGAAGAAGAAGAAGAAGAAGAAGAAGAAGACGAAGAAGAAGAATGAAGGGGCGAGGAGCGGAAGGAGCAGGGGCAGGATGACGACCTCTGTGTGTGTGTGTGTGTGTGTGAGAGAGAGAGAGAGAGAGAGAGA